CATTTTCCTATTTCATGAATTTGGTCTTATTTTCATTAAATGTGCTTAAAGGTATATTTATCACAGTAGCATGAAGCCTCAGTTATTTTATCTCTATGTGTTTGAGGCTTCTCATAGTCAAAGCAATAAGCAGTTTGTTCAAGGTAGCAATTGCAAAATTGGAGTGACAAAGTTAAATTCATGTCTCTAGAGGCTAAGATTTACTCTACAGTCCTCTTGCTTCCATAAATAGTTTTACCTTTATTGTCATAATTGTTTGATACCTTGACATTTCAACATATATGAAGATAGTATTGTAACAACTTATTCTTCAGCTCTAATTTTCTTTAACTTTATTCAAATTTCTAGAGCAAGTGCTTGAAGAACCAGGTGTCCCCAAAACTGTACAATGGGCAGCATGATGCAACTTTTAGTGTATAATCTAAATCCATTATAGAAGAAAAGGATAGTTAAAGAGATATTCATTTTTTGAGTCAGCACATTATTTATCCACTTTGTGGTGGACATTTTTTTTTGTAGGGGCTGGGGATACATTGGTAATCACAGGCAATAAGGCAACTTGTTTTCTTAGAGTATATTTCTAGTGGAGGGCACAGACAATAAACAAGAAATATCAATAAGTATATATACTTTAGGCATGTGCTAAGGAGAAAAAAATAGTTCAGAAAAACTAACGAAGAGAATCAGAATGGGGAGCAGTTGTTTGCAATTTTTGATAGCATGAATCAGGAAAACCCTCTGTGAAAAGGTGACCTTTGAATGAAGGACTGGAGGAAGATAGCAATAAACCATGCAGATATCTTTTGGGAGAACATTCTAGGCCCAGGGCACACCAAGTGCAAAAAACTCTGTGGCTAGAATATGTTTGATATAATCAAAGAACAGTGCAGACCAACTAGGGTAGGATAAACTGAATAAAGGGGAACATGGGAAATTAGGCACAGGGGTACTGATGTTATAGTATGTTGCAGACCTTTGTAAAAATTTTGGGTTTTATTTTTTTGAGATGGATGGAGACATTGGATGATTTCAGCAATGAGTCATATTCTTTGACTTACATTTTTTTTTTAAATCTCTCTGTTCTGGTGAATGTGGAGGGAGGACATGAAGGTTAATAAAGTAGGGAGATCAATTAAGAGGCTATTTGGTGCAGTTGAGGTGACGAGAAGCTGTCAGAATCAGATCTTCTGATGTACTGAACATAGTATGTGAAAGAGAGGAATCGATGTGACTCCTACGTTTTTGGCCAGAACACTGTAAAGAATGAAGTTGCTCTTTATTGAAATGGGGAAAACAGAGGGAAGAGCAGATTTGGAAAGTGGAGAGTGGTGAAACAGGATAAGATTATGTGCTCAGTTTGGACATATAATCTTCCATACATTTTTAAACATTTGAGATTAAATGATTGCTAAAGCTATACTGACATAGAGGATTTAGCTCCAAGGCAACTTGGTCTAAGTGGTATTATGGTAATCATTCAAACCCAAATATTTTTAAAGCATTTTTTATGTGTTCAGCCTAGCACTGAGTGGTGAGGTATATTAATAATATCAGTTAGTAAGGTATAAGATTAAAATATCTCAAGGCACATAATGGATGCAGTTTATGTAATGGGGAATTGAGTTGCATAGTGCTCACAAACATGGAACCTTGGAAACAGGAAAACAATACTTGATCCATGATCACATTGTTAAAACTATACCCACAAGTTTTATTCAAATGGCCGTCCTCTTGAAGGGGGTGTGGTTTTTTTTTTCATAGCTTGGCCCCCTGGAAGTTCTATTATGCCAGACTATTATAAAGAAGGCTATATTAACAGCTCTCATTGGCATTTCATCTCCATTGTTCTTGTCCCTCTGTGTTACTAATCACATTCTAGTTGTGGGTTGCATTCAGAATGCTGCTTTCCCAGTATAGTATACACAAGGTGTTGGTAGTGATGTTTTCTGAGCTAGACAGTCATATCTGAAAGTTGAATTAATCACTAGATGCTGGGGTCCAGCCCCAGCGGGTCCAGGGGTCCCCAAAGGTGTGGACGGAGTCGGCGAAGAAGGAATGACACGGAGACAGCGTTCAGTTGATCAGCAGCCTTGCCAGGATCTCTAGCCACAATCTCCAGCCAACTTCGGTTTAGGTTCTCTAGCCAGGTTTGGTCGCCAGGTTCTGTAGCCGGGTTCTTCAGCCAGGTTCTATCTAGGTTCTCCAACCAAGTTCTGTAGCCAGGTTCTGTCCAGGATCTTTTGCCATGTTCTCTCCAGCGAAGTTCTTCTGTCTCTTCTGCTGGGGAAGGGGTTAAGAGGTTTTATTCCCTCCCTAACTTCAGGGGAAAATCCCTACCTGGGGAAACAACCTTTCTCGGAGAGGTGACCTTGGTTAAAACACATAGTGCCAAGAAGGTGAGCAAACATATTAAGAACAGTATGCCATATATACCAGGTCCCTTGAAACAACAAGGATGGACTGGCTCCCAGCAACTAGACTTTTTTGTTTTCTTTGAGTGCTATGTACTTTGTGTACAATGTTTTGGCATCTGGCATTCTTTTATTAATAACTTCATGGGGGTTTTGAAGGACCTATGAAGGCACCAAGTAAAGTAAATAAGTTTCTAATAATGCAGCTACCCAGAGAAAAGAGGAGTTTTGGGTTCCTTTTTCTGTTTTTTCTTCATTCTTTTTTCCCGCCTTTAAGTATTTTTGGTCTTTAGGACACATTTGAGGATGCATGATGTCTGCCATTTTCCCCGTTATGGGAGACTGCCGTGCTGAAGGCTGGTGCTTGATGCTGTCACAGCACCTTTCCTTTGAGTCAAAGTAGAGAGCAAATAGGCCTCTGTACAGGGACCCAGGGAGCACGGACCGCTCTCCACTCTCAAACAGTACAAGTAATTTAAGCGCTCAGAGACCCAGCACTACTTTAGTGGTGTCCCCTGGAGAACAATTCAGCTAAAGCAGAATGTCATGTGGTTTTCTTTCATGATTTGAGCTCCTTCCCAGAAATGTATCTAGAGTTATGCAGGAATATTTCAAAACTGTTTCATTGACAGTGTTCTAGCAGAGTTTGTTTTTTTTTTTTTAAATCAAATAACAACTGTGAAGTCATATCTGGCAATATGAGAAGTGCTATGATTCAGGTTACAGCACAGTACCTTGGTTGTAAAAAGAATTTTCACATTCAGAATAACCTTACATGAAGTTTGTATAAAACATAAAAGTGTGAAGTTTGAATAAAAACAAGTAAAAATGAAAAACCTGGATATTTTTCTTTATTTAGAGGGGAAAATGACATTGGGGAAGACAACAAAATGAAGCCATTCCCATTCAAAATCAAAAATCTATTTTTTATGATTACACATTTTAAAAAAGGTGTCAATGAGAAACACATCTTTTTGCTTTCTACTAAAATAGGTATCTGTGTGTTCTAATTTTAGTATTGAGGCATATATCCATAAAAATAAATGACATTGATTTATGTATTTTGATATTTTACATAGATAGTATCATGCTGCACAGATCATTTTACATTTAAAAATATGTAATATTAGATTTTTGAGAAGTATACATTTGTGTGACTATATATATATCCAGAACACTGATTTCCTACTACTCTTTAGACCAGCGGTTCTCAACCTGTGGGTCGCGACCCCTTTGGGGGTTGAACGACCCTTTCACAGGGGTCGCCTAAGACCATCGGAAATCACATATATAATTACATATTTTTTTGTGATTAATCACTATGCTTTAATTATGTTCAATTTGTAACAATGAAATTGGGGGTCACCACAACATGAGGAACTATATTAAAGGGTCATGGCATTAGGAAGGTTGAGATCCACTGCTTTAGACTATCATTCTATAAATCAACTATTATTTGTTAATTCATTGCTCTGCTGATGAAAGTTAGGTCTTTTAAGGTTTTTCAATAAATCTAAAAAGAAAAGAGGAATTGACAGTCATAGATCATTTCTCACCTATGCTTCACCATCTCGGTGCACTGATGTGTTGGCCCGCTAAAATTCTAAAGCTTCACAGAAGTGGTTTTTACTGGAGGCAAATTACCGTAGGATAGAAATATTACCATAGGGTACAAATAGAGTTCGAACCTTAGAACAAGTACAGAAATGAGATAGTGGATAGACTAAGGAACATGACAGGTATGGAGTTTATAGACTATGTTAATAGAGAAAGAAAATGCAGTTTCATATAGAAGTGTTCATGAGCTTTTACTTTTTCTTAGCACTACTATCTATCTTATGCTGTTATTGGGTATAGTAACTCTGAATGCTTCTATTCCATCTGTATATAATAGGCTCTATTCATGCAAAACCCTTCAAGGATCAAACTTTCTGATCTCCTTAAGCCATTCAATATGGATTTAAATCCAGGAATATCCTCATTCTTTTAGATCTTCCACTAAATAAATGGTACACATATGTTGGTCATTCACCAGAATTAACTGGGGATCTTTATAAAAATGCATACTTTTATAAACTCAATCTTGGAAACTCTGGTCAAGTATTTATAGGACAAAGGTAGGACAGAGGAACTATATTTTTTTAGTAAAAACCCCCCAATGATTAAAAAAGCATTTCAGTTGAGATACCACTGTGTTAAGTGTATAGCTTAATTTCATGTAGAGTATTTCCATAGTAGGAGTTGTCAAAAAATTAGCCTAAAAAATGATATGGGTTAAAAAAAAACGAAAAGCTTTTTTTTCTTTTGAAATCTTTGGCCAGCTTTAAGTTGATGTGTTTCAACTAGTGTTTATATTCTGAAAATGTATGTAGTAAACATTATTGTCATCCATGAGTACCAAACTGATGTATACCTCAGAGAGAATATATAATATTTTACCTATGGACGAGAAAACCCAAACACTTGTCTTATTCATTGTCTAAGTAGAGAACATTTAGTAAATTATTAAAATTATACCTCAGGCCCTTATAACTCTTTATAATCAGTTATGCATAAATGCAACTTACGGCTTTTCTGTTGTGTTTCCAGCACAGTGATGCGGTCCATGACCTTCTTCTGGATGTGATCACGTGGGTTGGAATTTTGCTGTCCCTTGTTTGTCTCCTGATTTGCATCTTCACATTTTGCTTTTTCCGCGGGCTCCAGAGTGACCGTAACACCATCCACAAGAACCTCTGCATCAGCCTCTTTGTGGCAGAACTGCTCTTCCTGATTGGGATCAACCGAACTGACCAACCAGTAAGCAGCTCCCATTGACATGAGTAAAGAATGTTGCACTTCCAGCTGTCCAAGACTGGAAACACTCATGTTTGAAAACACCCCCCCCCTTCCAATTATCTCAGATTGATACTAACTTTCAGATCTTACTCACTTTTTTTCCCCTTTTCATACCCCAATGTCATAAAGAAGCAGCGAATGTTATGCATGTATGTACATTTCTTCAGAAATTCGGTTTATAAACTTACCTTTCTCAAGAATTATCTCTCTTTAATAGCCCCACCCCCCCCCGCCCCGCCTTTTTAAAAACTACAGAGCTGAATATTAAGAACGTTAAGTAAAATGTTTTGGGGAATGGAGGGGTATCATTTCTAACAGATATAATTATTATTTTTTGAAGTTTATAATATACTTTTATTTAAAAGTGATGGATATTATATTAAAAATGGCATGCCTAAATTAGTTTTTCTTTTTTTTTTTAATTTTATTTTTTATTACAAAGGGTATTACATATGTGTCCATTTTTTTCCCCGCCCTAGACAGTCCCCTAGCCTCCCCTATTCCCCAGTGTCTTATGTCCATTGGTTATGCTTATATGCATGCATACAAGTCCTTTGGTTGATCTCTTACCCCCCTACCTCCCGCCCCCGAACCCTCCCCGGTTCTAATTGACATATTTTGGAAAATAGTTCAAACTGTAGGTAATTTTTAGAATATCTAACTCTTTTTTTAAAAAAAAATATATTTTATTGATTTTTTACAGAGAGGAAGGGAGAGGGATAGAGAGTTAGAAACATCAATGAGAGAGAAACATTGATCAGCTGCCTCCTGCACACCCCCCAATGGGGATGTGCCCGCAACCAAGGTACATGCCCTTGACTGGAATCGAACCTGGGACTCTTCAGTCCGCAGGCCGACGCTCTATCCACTGAGCCAAACTGGTTAGGGCAGAATATCTAACTCTTCCCAAATTTTGTTTGACACTTCATATTTGCTCAAGTTCTGTTCACATCTTTAAGTGCCAACTTCATACTTTACTACTACCTACATTTAATCATATTAAGACAGAGAGGTAGTGAGGAAGGGATGGAGGGTGGGAAAAAAAGAACTGTACTAGCCAATTGTTCTTGGTAAAACCAAAAAGAAAATATGAATAACAGATAATAGCTAATATATTAAACGGACTTCATGCCCAGTTACAATTTTTTGTGAGGCCCTTGCACATACGGAAAGTTTGTTCTCAGGACTAAAATGAGAAGAAAACTCTTTTTGAGAAAACTCAGACTAAGCATAATCAATAATTCATTCACTTGATGCTGTTTTCTGGTATGTATGGAGTACTTTACAATAAAAATGCACTTGTATTTGTGATTACACATTCATGATTAATGGCTGTAAAGGGGACAATTATGCTGATTATACTTTTTATTGGTTATCATATACAAATGTGACAGCTTTTCCCATAAACCATACATGTGAATAAGCAATTAAGCTACACATTTCTTTCACCCTGAAAGTAAAGCAGTCTGTTAACAAAAATTAATAGTTGAAGTTCTAACTCTAAAAAGCAAGAAATGGAAAACTGTTTTATTTTCCATAAAGAAATCATTTTATTTCTTCTTAACCTGCACTTCAAACACCATTATTTCTTTTCATTTAGAAGCCTTATTCTTGTTAAATTTCACTAAATGTTGCATGCTGAATAAAACTAATTTCTGACAAAGAGCATAAATAACAATGATTAAAATGAAACCCTGAGTAGGGTCCAGCTCAGCCCAACTTGCCTGTATTCTTGTTGCTGGACTGCTGTCCTCTCCTGCATCCCGCACAGTGGAGGCTCTGCTCTCTCTCTAGCCCTCTGACATTTGACTGCCTCATCTCCCTCTCACTGTCACCTTTCTAATCCAAAGAAATTGACTTACCTTGTCTCATTCTCAAGGACCATACTCATCATTGGATCCATACTAATTAGATAATTTCTATAAATTTGTTGCCCCTTTCTAGCAGGAGCTATAGATTTTAGTTAGGGATTTTATAAGAAATGAAGATCCCCAAAGGAGTGAAAACTTCCAGAATTGACATAAGAAAATTAATATGTGGTCAGCTGAAACATGTAGTGCCTTACATAATATGCCAAAGAGCCATGGTTGGGTGGCACAGTTGGTTGGAGCCTCATCCCATACACTAAAAGGTGGCAGTTCGATTTCCCATTGGGGCACATACCTAGGTTGCCCGTTCGATCCCTGGTTGCAGCCCATATGTGAGGCAACATATCAATGTTTCTCCCTCCTTCTCTCTAAAAATCAATAAACATATCCTTGGATGAGGATTAAAAATAGATGAAGTAAATATGTATTTTTAAAAATAAATAAATAAAAATAAAACATGCCAAAGAAAGTAGTTCAAGCAGTTTTGAACTATTGGCTGCCTTTTTTGACCAAGCTTGTCTAAACTAACATTTAGTACAATAACAGAAACCTGAGAGAAAAAGCACTTCCGGAATACTATTTTAACCTGATCTAATTTTATACCTATGTAGCATGAATTTCCCAATGGTACCATAGGTCCTTTCTGAAACAAGACAGGGAAGAAATAAATTAGAAGTAATAGTGCCCTAACTGGTTTGGTTCAGTAGATAGAGCGTCAGCCTGTGGACTGAAGGGTCCCAGGTTCGATTCCAGTCAAGGACATGTACCTTGGTTGTGGCCACATCCCAATAGAT